CACCATGCACTGCTCCCTAGGAATGTTCCAGAAAGTGGACATGGTCATGAACAAGACAGTGGAAGAGCCTACCTCATCTTAAGGACTCACCGTCTACCGACAAGAAAGGAAAACCAACAATAAACAATGGATTCTGAACTTCTCCCAGCCGTTTTGAATGACGTGCGAATGACGCAGGGTGGAGACTGGGGCTCTCTGTGGAGATGACGTTACAACCAAGGCCTGGATTACCAGACAAGAAATGACGCTGACTCAGGAGACCCAGGTGAGGCCCCAGTAAGAGGCTGTTCTTTCCGGCAAGTTCTCCCGGTCGCCACTGGCCACGCATTGGCCTGTGTCTGTCTCCCCTTCAGACTCATGTTCTCAACCAGAGCAACCCTGCCCCGCCAGGGGACACTCGGCAACCCGAGACACTTTAGGTGATCACATCTGGAAGCAACTGGTGGGTGGAGGCCAAGGGGGCTGCTCAAACACCCTTCAGTGCACAGGATGGCCGCTCGCCATAAAGAATGGTCTGGCCCCCAAAACTGAAGTTAAGACACCCTACACCAAAGGCTGTGGGAGGCTAGGACTGGATTCTTATTCACGTTCCTCAGCACGTGTGGGCCACTCCCTACTTGTCAATAGCTGGCAGGCCTTGTGATAAAATGGAAAAAAACTGACACTTCAAAACAGTCAAACTAGGAAAACTAAGAGAGAATACTGGCCGGGTGTGGTGGGTCACACCTGTAACCCCAACACTTTGGGAGGCCAAGGCAGGTGGATCACTTGAGTCCAGGAATTCAAGACCAGCCTGGACAACATGGTGAAATTCTGTCTCTATTTTAAAAATGTAAAAAAGGCCAAGCCCGGTGGATCACACCTGTTATTCCAGCACTTTGGGAGGCTGAGGTGGGTGGATCACTTGAGATCAGGGGTTCGAGACCATCCTGGCCAACATGGTGAAAGCCCGTCTCTACTAAAAATACAAAATTTAGCCAGGTGTGGTGGCAGGCACCTGTAATCCCAGCTACTCAGGAAGCTGAAGCAGGAGAATGACTTGAACCTGGAAGGTATAGGCTACAGTGAGCCAAGATCGTGCCACTGCACTCGGGCGACAGGGTAAAACTGTGTCTCAAAAAAATAAAAAATAGGCCGGGCATGGTAGCTCATACCTACGATCCCAGGACTTTGGAAAGCTGAGGCGGGTGGATCACAAGGTCAGGAAATCGAGACCAGCCTGGCCAACACTGTGAAACCCTGTCTCTACTAAAAATATAAAAAATTAGCCAGGTGTGGTGGATGCCTGTAGTCCCAGCTACTCAGGAGGCTGAGGCAGGAGAATCGCTTGAATCCAGGAGACAGAGATTGCAGTGAGCTAAGCTTGTGCCACCGCACTCCAGCCTGGCGACAGAAGGGAGACTCAGGCTCAATAAATACATAAAAATTTTTAAAAATTTCAATTAAACTAAAAAAAAAGTACTTTGGGAGGCTGAGGCAGGCGGATCATGAAGTCAGGAGTTTGAGATCAGCCTGACCAACACAGAGAAACTCCGGCTCTACTAAAAACACAAAAATTAGCTGGGTGTGGTGGCGTGCACCTGTAATTCCAGCTGCTCAGGAGGCTGAGGCAGGAGAATCGCTTGAACCCAGGAAGTGGAGGTTGCAGTGAGCCGAGATTGCGCCACTGCACTCCAGCCTGGGTGACAGAGCAAGACTCAGTCTTAAAAAAAAGAAAGAAGGAAAGAGAGTATCACCAGGGCCTTTGTGTGTGGGAAGCCCCGTGAGGCTTTCAGACAATGGCCTCTCAAAGGACTCCAGGGAGCCAAAAGCTCAAAGGACTCCTGAAGACACGCAAGTCAGGGCCTGGACATCGGACATGCCTCATGCGTCTGTCCTGAAGCCATACAAACAGCCCAGACTGCTGGGAAGCAGGGCTGGAAACGTGACAGGTGTGTCAATATCAACCGGAAGTAAGTGGGCTCCCAGGTGCCCGGAAGAGAACAAACCTCTGTAGCTAAGACAGGAAGCCCTGGAAATGACTGCTCCCAGGCTACAGCAAGATGCCCAAGGCCTGCTGAGTAGCTACTAAGTGAAAGTTCTTTTCAAGCCTTTCCCCAGGTCAATCGGCCTGCACCATCATCATTGTCACCTAAGCCACCTAGGGGTAGACAAGACTGCCAGCCCTCCACGGTTGAGGCCCCGCAGTTATTTAAAGAAGAGCCAACTCCAAATACAACCACAGTGTGACTCCTGTCAAGATCTAGCCCTGAAAGACAAGTTACTCCACGGGCAGAGAAAGGCAATTTCCACATGCAGGATGCACATTTCACTTCTTTTCAGTCCGGCTCTTTCTGAGTGAGTGACGGGAATGACACCCAGTGTTTCCACAGCATTCCGGCTCTACAGAGTGCTCTCACGGATGCTGCCATTGCAAATGAGCTGGGCTTTCACCTACAGTCATGACTGTTCCAGAGTTTAGTCTTGCTTAGACTTTTACGGTCTGAAGCACAAGCCCTATGTCTGGATCCAGGGACTCCATTTGCAAACAGGAAATGGAAGGCTCTTCGGAGTTCAGCAGCCACAAGCTTCAAAGTTCCCCTTTAAAACTGAGACTCAGCCAGGCGTGGTGGCTCATGGCGGTAATCCCAGCATTTTGGGACGCTGAGGCAGGAGGATCACGAGGTCAGGAGTTCAAGACCAGCCTGGCCAACATGGTAAAACCCCGGTCTCTACTAAAAATACAAAAAAAATTAGGCGGGCGTGGTGGTGTGTGCCTGTAATCCCAGCTACTCAGGAGGCTGAGGCAGGAGAATCGCTTGAACCTGGGAAGCAGAGGTTGCAGTGAGCTGAGATCGCACCACTGCACTCCAGCCTGGGTAACAGAGCAAGACTCCATCTCAAACAAAAAACCAAACAAACAAACTGAGACTTGCTCTTTGGCTTTCAGAAGCAACAGACTGATGGCAGAGAGAGTCTTGCACAGAGAAGCAGCAAAATTTACATGCACCCTGCACACGGAATACAAAAGCTGCTGCCACATTACTCTTCAGCATTCTCTTTCCAACTGACTGCAGAGTGTCAGATCCCTAACTGGACACTCTTACCATGTCTTCCATCAAAGGAGAGACCCACCAAGTGCTTCCAGCAGTAGATTCTGACACTCCCTGCTAAAATTCTAGGAGTGAGGACTGGAGGAGGTTGGGAGAGCTGGTTCACTTATACCAGCTGTTCTCAACAGGGGCACTTTTCCCCCAGGGAGACACCTGGCAATGTCTGGAGACATTTCTGGCTGTCAGAACTGAGTGAAGGGCTGGTGGGTGCAGGCTACGGATGCTGGCTGCTAAACATCCCACAACACACTGGGAAGACCCCAACAGCAAAGAATTATGCCCTAAATGGCAATAGTACCAACGTGGAAAAAATGACAACGGTCATCTTACAAAAGGAAATCTTAAATAGGCTTTCTTTTTATCAGAGGAGCTGGTGAGCTCAAGGATGAAGAGACCACAGAGATAGGAGCAGTTAGCCAGGCCCAGTGGCTCACTCCTGTAATCTCAGCACTGTGAGAGGCCAAGGTGGGCAGACTGCTTGGGGCCAGGAGTTTGAGACCAGCCTGGGCAACATAGTGAGACCCTGTGACTACAAAAAAATAAATAAATAAATTAGCTGGTCGTGGTAGTGCATACCTGTAGTCCTAGCTACTTAGGAGGCCGAGATGGGAGGATTGCTTGAGCTCAGGAGACTGAGGCTTCAGTGAGCTATGATAGGGCCACTGCACTCCAGGCTGGAGTGAGACCCCGTCTTTTAAAAAAAAAAGAGACCACTTTTAAAGTGAGTGAGACTCACTTTTAAAAGAGTGAGACCCCATCTTTTAAAAAAAAAAAGAAAGAAAGGCTGGGTGCGGTGGCTCATGCCTGTAATTCCAGCACTTTGGGAGGCCGAGGAGGGCAGATCACGAGGTCAGGAGATTGAGACCATCCTGGCCAACACGGTGAAACCCTGTCTCTACTAAAAATACAAAAACTAGCCAGGCATGGTGGTATGTGCCTGTAATCTCAGCTGCTCGGGAGGTTGAGGCAGGAATCACTTGACCCCGAGAGGCGAAGGCTGCAGCGAGCTGAAGCACCACTGCACTCCAGCCCGGGCAATACAGCGAGACTCCGTCTCAAAAGAGGCTGGGCATGGTGGCTCACGCCTGTAATCCCAGCACTTTGGAAGGCCAAGGCAGGCAGATCACTTGAAGTCAGGAGATCAAGTCCAGCGTGGCCAACAGGGCAAAACCATATCTCTCCTTAAAATACAAAAATTAGCCGAGCATGGTGGCCTATAATCCCAGCTACACAGGAGGCTATAATCCCAGCTACTCGGGAGGCTGAGATAGGAGAATTGCTTGAATCTGGGAGGTGCAGGTTACACCGAGCTGAGATTGCACCACTGCACTCCAGCCTGGATGACAGAGCCAGACTCTGTCTCAAAAAAATAAAATAAAATAAAAAAATAAGAGGGCAGCACCTATCACCTAAGAAAGAAACAGCCAAAGCAAAGCCAGGAGTCCCAACTGAGCTAATGATCCTGTCGACAATTCCATGAAACACAGCCAACATAAAAGTGGCTATTCACACACCATCTCAACCACTTTATTTCACAGGTGGTTCTGAGAGTGATCAGAGGCAGACGACCACATGAGCAAGTACAAGGGCAAGCCTGCCTGGTACGCTTGCTGGGAAAGCCTCAGGCCCAGACCTCAGACTTCACACAAAATTCTGCATTAGGAGGATACCTCCCTGACATCCACTCTTGATTTAAATCTTCCGAACAGATCAATTTGGGAGGCAGAGGCTGCTTGTGTAGGTGTTTCCATATCTATTTTGATTTGTGCTAGAAGCAATGAGCATGCCTAGAAGAATGGATCTTAAGTGGCTTTCTAGCAATGACACAAGAGAGACACGTGGCTCAATGTGAGTAGCAAGATATACGTGGTGAAGGCCGAGAACATCCGAATCACTATAGTGGCATACCTGGCATGTCAGAGGCGACTGTATGTTTAACTTGCCATTCTTGGGAATGTCTATTCTGTATCCGAGGGGAAGAAAAGCATTGAATCCAACAATGAGGTCAGGGTGCTCGTGGAAGAGCTGGGAGACACGTCTGATGACTCCAGGAGTATCGATACTAGAAGAAACAATGAGAGTGGGTCTTGGGAAGCAAATAAAAAATGAAATCTGTTCCCTACTCCCTTGATACTGCCACATAACAACCTTCTCCACAGACAACAAGGCAAGCTAATGTGATCCACCAGGCACAGTGGCTCACACCTGTAATCCCAGCATTTTGGGAGGTCGAGGCAGGCAGATCACCTGAGGTCAAGAGCTTGAGACCAGCCTGGCCAATACGGCGAAACCCTGTCTCTACTAAAGATTCAAAACTAAGCGAGGCATGGTGGTGCATGCCTGCAATCCCAGCTACTCAGGAGGCTGAGGCACAAGAATCACTTGAACCCAGGCGACGGAGGTTGCAGTGAGCCAAGATTATGCTGCTGCACTCCAGCCTGGGCAACACAGTGAGACTCCATCTCCAAAAAAAAAAAAAAAGGTGCGTATGAGATAGCATCTGTACACATGATCTATTTCCTGAGGGGCTAGGCCTGAGCTCCCTGTGTCCTTTTGGTAAGAACCAGAAAATACTGACATCGCTCAGCTCCCCCAAAATACTCCACGGATGAGCACTCGGTTCTGAAAATGTCAGGAGAGCCAACCGCAAGTCCTGGTCTCCAAGAAATGGCAGGAGGCCAAAATCCTCTAAGCAATGTGAAAAGTTCCTTCATTTCATATCAGATAGGGATGACTATGACACAGGTTTCCATCCGAGAAAATGACTGCAATGCATAAACAGCAATGGTACAGCCAAGCATGGGAAACGTGTAAGATAAATAGGAGGGGAGAGATGGGGTCTCCCTCCCAGCCGCATCACAGCCCAGCCCTTAGTACTGGGCTCCTGGAAGGAGAACAGGCCAGCCCCACCAAAGGGGGCAGCAGCGTGGTAGGGATGTGACCCGAATGCATCTGAGTCAGAGGGTCTGAGTTCTAGTGCCACCTCTGCCACTTAAGTGGATCCCTTACTCACTCCAAGTCCCACTGAGCCTCCTATACAAATAAGTGCATGATCCTAGGGTTTCCCATCTATCTGTAATCCTCCTTGATTACAAAATCAGCCTGCAAAATCAGCTCATGTGTTTTAAACGTTTTCTGTATGCCAGCTCCCTTACTAAGCATTTTACGCGTCTTCCAAGCAGGCCTGGGACTCCAGTGAGCTCAGAGAAGCATCTTGAGGACAAGATTAAAGGGGAAAAGGAGCCAAAAATTTCAGTCATCAAGGCAAGTAACATTTTGCAGTGCTTGAAAAAAAATAAATAATCAAAATGGGTCCCACCAAATCTTTCATGAACAAAACTTATTTAAAAATCAACATATTAAATCAAGGCAGGATTCGACTCTTACGAGTGTGCACGGCCTCGCCTCTTCCCTGGTCCCTGTCCTCCTTTCAGGAATCCCCACGAAGCTCCACAAGGTGGGTACTACCCATTTCCATTTTTGTTACCAGAAGGAGCTAAGGCTGTGTGAGATTCGACAACCCGCGCAAGGTCACCCGGCTAAGGGGGCAGCCCGGAGAGGGGAGGTCCCACCCCGCTAGGCCCGATTCTGGCCAAAGGGGGGGTCCCCCGAGGTGGAGAGGGGCCCTGCGGGTACCTCTGGCTTTTGAACTCTTTCATGATCTCCAGGAAGCCGTTGTAGGTGGCGGGGTCGCTGCCAAAGCGGATCTTCACCTGGTCCAGATAGGTGAGGGCGTCTTCAACCTGCAGAGAGGGGAAGGGTTCCGGTGGGCCCGAGCCGCGGGGAGGAGGGGCGAGGGGCTGGGATCGCTGGAGGGAAAGGGGTCAGGCCGGACCTTCAGAGGGCCAAGGTGAGAGGTGAGGAGTGAGGGGTCCGGGGCCGGGCAGAGGGGAGGCTGAGGCGGGGCCGGGGCCAGGGCCGGGCGGGGCCTGGGTGAGGGGCGCCTGCCCGCGGAGTCCAAAAGATAAGGTCCCAGAGGGAGGGCAGGGACGACACTCACGTGCACCGGCAGCTTCTCGTGGCCCGCGGAGCCCGAACGACCCCAGCGGGCGCCGCTCAGCCCCCGGCCCGCGGGGCCGCCACCGCTGCCGCCGCCAGCGTGCGCCATGTTCGAAGTCGGAGCAGCACCCCGCCCCGCCCCCGCCCGACGGCCTCCCGCGCATGCGCAGCCCCCGCCTTTGGAGGCGGGGTTTGATGACGTTAGAGGGGCGGCGCTCTTTGAGGGTCTCCTCTGAGGATCTTCTCCTTAAAATTGCTCTCGTGCATAATTAAGGATTTATATAGCATGGGTAGGCGAACCAAGACCCGCCGCCTGCTTGGTCTGGCCCCGCAAGCTCAGAATGATTTTTTACATGTTTACCTAGCTGGGGGAAAAATCCAAAGAAGAATAGTCCATGACCAGTGAAAAAGTTTCTGAAATTCACATTTGAAGGTCCCTGAATAAAGTTTTATTGGCACACAGACACGCCCGCCGGTGTATCTAGGATATCAGCCTGCTTTTGCATAACAGAGTAGCTAGTTGCTAAAGATCGTACAGATCTGCAGAACCTGATGTATTTACAATTTGGCCTTTTATGGAAAACATCTGTGGGTTCCTGCTTTCTAGAGCTGATGGGACAATGAAGTATGAGCACCCAGCGCCCTAATACAGGGCCTGGTGTGGTGAATTTCTGCTAAACGGCCTTTGAGTTAGTCCTACTCCTCCATTTTCACTTCCCTTTCCTTGGTCCCATCACTTCCCAGCTGGACTAGTTTAGTAGCCTCCTAACCCTGGTACTTTCTCAGCCCTGGTACTATCAAGAACTCCAGGCTGGGGGTGGTGGCTCAGGCCTGTAATCCCAGCACTTTGGGAGACAAAGACAGGAGAATTGCTTGAGTTTAGGAGTTCAAGACCACCTGGGCAGCAGAGCAAGATCCACGTCTCCACTAAAAAAATTGAAAGTGAATAAATTAGCTTGGCGTGGTGGTGCACACCTGTTGTCCCAGCTACTTGGGAGGCTGAGACAGAACGATTGCTTGAGGCCAAGAGTTCAAGGCTGCAGTGAACCATGAACTTACCACTGCACTCCAGCCTGGGAAGCATAGCAGTGTTTTTTGTTTGTTTTAGAGCATCTCACCTCAAAAAAAAAAAACAACAAAGAAAAAACTCAAGCCAGGTACCGTGGCTCACACCTATAATCCCAGCATTTTGGGAGGCCAAGGTGGGCAGATCACGAGGTCAAAAGATTGAAACCATCCTGGCCAACATGGTGAAACTGCGACTCTACTAAAAATACAAAAATACTGTGTGTGGTGGTGCACGCCTGTAGCCCCAGCTACTCAGGAAGCTGAGGCAGGAGGATTGCTTGAACTCAGGAGGTGGAGTTTGCAGTGATCCGAGATTGCACCACTACACTCCAGCCTGGTGACAGAGACTCTGTCTCAAAAAAAAGAAAGAAAGAAAAAACTCGGCTCATTCCACCCCTGCTTCCAAACCTCCAAGGTCTTCCTACTTCTCTCTCTCTCTCTCTCTCTCTCTCTCTCTCTCTCTGTGTGTGTGTGTGTGTGTGTGTGTGTGTTGCCCAGGCTGGTCCTGAACTCTTGAGTTCAGGCAATCCGTTTGCCTCAGCCTCCCAAGGTGCTGGGATTACAGGCATGGTCCACCTCGAAAATCCTGCAGGAAAAGGTTTCTAAAAACCTTTTCTGACAGCCTGCAGTGTAGGTGCTTATGAAGCAGGAGCAGCATGGAACAAACCTCTCAAACGCCAAACTGAGGAAGGAAGTGGCTTTTTTTATTCGGCCAGGAGTTTCAAGGGGCAACAGCCTCACTCCCGGAACTCCCCAAGCTGCAGCTTCTCTCCTCTTTTATAGGCTTACACTGCTAAAGGGGAAACTGAGGTAGAACTATGTCATTGTCTATTTGCTGGATGTCTGACCTTAACAACCTTTTGGCTTCATTGATTTGCTAATTCATATGCAGCGTGAGTGGGGACCAGCAGGGGAGGGGGCTTACAGACACAAGACAAAAGTAACAAGCCATTTGTTGGCAGAGGTGTTTCCAGGAGGCAGCCTGGTCCGTGGAGATGTGGGGGCGTGAACCAGTGCTGGGCTCCAGCCGGCAGGGATAACATTCATTTGCAGCTCTTTCAAGGTTAACAGATAGCAGAGACGCTGGAAACTAAAAAGGGAGTCATTTCCCCAGCTCTTTGGTATTTTCTTTCTTTCTTTCTTTCTTTCTTTCTTTCTTTCTTTCTTTCTTTCTTTCTTTTTCTTTCTTTCTTTTTCTTTCTTTCTTTCTTTCTCTTTCTTTCTTTCTTTCTTTCTTTCTTTCTTTCTTTCTTTCTTTCTTTCTTTCTTTCTTTCTTTCTTTCTTTCTTTCAGAGTTTCGCTCTTGTTACCCAGGCTGGAGTGCAATGGCGCGATCTCAGCTCACCACAACCTCCGCCTCCTGGGTTCAGGCAATTCTCCTGCCTCAGTAGCTGGGATTACAGGCACGCACCACCATGCCCAGCTAATTTTTTGTATTTTTAGTAGAGATGGGGTTTCACCATGTTGACCAGGATGGTCTATGATCTCTTGACCTCGTGATCCACCCGCCTCGGCCTCTCAAAGTGTTGGGATTACAGGCGTGAGCCACCGCGCCCGGCGGTATTTTATTTCATTTTTTTTTTCCTTCTTCACCCTCCTTCCCATCTGGAAGGGAGGGAGGGAGGAGGTAAAATTGGAGGCAAGGGGATCTCCCCTCTCACTTAGATTTCACCTCATTAGAGATAGGGAGACCTATCTCTAATGAGATAAGCACCTACATTGCAGACCGTCAGAATCTGTCCTTAGGAACCCTTTCCTGCAGGATTTTCCACCCCAGCAAACTGCCTCTGTGCAGAACCTGACACCATTGCCTGACCGACCTGCCTGCTTCCTGGCCCAAAGCATGGGCTCTCACCATTTCCGTGGCCAGAAGTACTGTCGTGCCTCTTTGTTATCAAGAAAACACCTACGCATCCTTCTAAACCCAACCCAAATATCACCTTCCCTCAGGAAGCTTTCCCAGTCCCCTTCTGTGTCCTCCCACAGCCACTTATATGTCATGTTTGTTTTGAGGACCATCTCTAACACAAATCCCTGTCTCAGCCACTCAGTCAGCATTTATCAAAGACATGAGCATTCACTTAGTGACCAAGGGCATTCACTTGTTATCAGTGAAAAGGAGCAGGAAAGTTGGGAGTAAATTGGCATTGAATGCGTCGTTTACCAGGCACTGTGCTAAGTGTTAGGAATAAAATGGTAAAAAAGAACAGAAATTTGGCTAAGAGCTTTCAGTCTTTCAGGATAGACAAGAATCTAATAATCACACAAATGTAATGTTTCACATGTAACAAATACTTCAAAGAAAATGTATACATGTAACAGCTCCTAAATTTATATTGCTATGGCTGTGTAACAAATCAGCCTTTGACAATCTCAGTACTTTGGGAGGCCAAGGTTGGGGGGAAATCCCTTGAGGCCAGGAGTTCGAGACCAGCCTGGGCAACAAAGCAAGCGCCCATCTCTACAAAAACATTAAAAAGAAAGAAAGATGGGGAAAAAAGCAGCCCAAGACTTAGAAGCTTCGAATGACAACAACATTCACGGGGCAAGCAGCTCACAGCTATATCCCAGCACTTTAAGAAGGAGAGGTGGATCAAATGAGGCCGGGAGTTCAAGACCAGCCTGGACAAGATGGTGAAACCCCAACTCTACCAAAAATACAAAAATTAGCCAAGCGTGGTGGCACACGCCTGTAATCCCGGCTATTCAGGTGGCTGAGACATAAGAATGGCTTGAACCCAGGAGGCAGAGGTTGCAATGAACTGAGATTGCGCCACTGCACTCCAGTCTGGGGAACAGAGCAAGACCTTGTCTCAAAAAAAAAAAAAAAAATGACATTCATTTTACTCTTCAATCTGCAATTTGGGCAGGTTTGGGAAGAATAACTCAACCTTGGCCTCAGTGGGTGTGGCTCGAAGTCTGGGGGCTGGAATCATCTGAATGTTTGCTCACACACATATGTGTCAGTTGCTACAGGCTACAGGCTGAGACCCTCGCTGGGGCTGTTGCTTTGAACACTTAACATGTGGTCTCCATGAAACCTGAGCTTCTTCACAACAAACGTTCTAAGAACAAGTGAGCGGGCCGGGCGCAGTGGTTCATGCCGAGGCGGGTGGATCACCTGAGGTTGGGAGTTCGAGACCGGCCTGACCAACATGGAGAAACCTCATCTCTACTAAAAATATAAAATTAGCCAGGTGTGGTGGCGCATGCCTGTAATCCCAGCTACTCAGGAGGCTGAGGCAGGAGAATCGCTTGAACCCGGGAAGCGGAGATTGCTGTGAGCCAGATCGCACCATTGCACTCCAGTCTGGACAAAAAGAGCAAAAAAGTCTGTCTCAAAAAAACAAAACAAAACAAAAAAAACGAGTTTCCCAGGCTACAGAGAGGGAGAAGAGAGTACAAGATAATCCTGGAGCAGCCAGAGGGGCGAACATGCCGCACCTTCAACGCTGAGTTCAACCTTTAATGCTGGTGGAAACTGCCCAAGGGCTTTGGGCAGAGGCGCTCACTGCAAGTCCAGGTTTGCATTTAAAAGTGATCACTCTGGCTGTTCTGCGGGAAAGTGATTGGAGGGGAGCCAGGGAGACTGTTTCATCATTTAGGCAAAGGACAACAGTGGCTTAGACCAGGATGGGAGCAGTGGAAGTAGAGAGAAGTGAGTGGAAGGGAGTGGTATTTAGAAAGGGAAGATTCATGGCTCCCAGCCAGGAAAGGGATTCTGCTTGGTTTCAGTGCGTTCCTGTATGAAGAGCAGCGAAGGCAGACTGAACACTTTGTGGCCGCCAGATGTCTGGATAGTCCATTTCTTACCAAAGCCGCCCAGTGTTACAGGAAATGGATCCCGATGCAGACCCCCCAGAGAGGGTTTATGGATTTTACGAAAGAAAAAATTCAGGGCGAGTCTCTTAAGTGAAAGCAAGTGTATAAGGAAAGTAAAGGAATAAAGACTGGTGACTCCATAGACAGAGCAGCCCCGAGGGCTATGGTTGCCCTTCTTTTTTTTTTCTTTTTGAGACGGAGTCTACCTCTGTCGCCCAGGCTGGAGTGCAATTTCAGCTCACTGCAACCTCTGCTTCCTGGG